CATCACCTCAAAGGCTGCCTTTTGGCACAGGGGGCCGAAGGTGCTGCAAGGCACAAGTGTGAAGCCACTTTGCTGTGGGTCTCGTGGGACTGCACAAACCTCAAGTACAACTGCAGACAGAGTCATACCAAGTCCCTTGCTAGTCAGGCGTGGGTGTTTTTCCCTGAAAAACCATTTTTGATTCTAATCCTACTTGATTTAGAGAGACAAATTGGAAGGAGGCCAGTGGCAGCCTTTGGTAACGTGCAGGCCCTCGCTGGAGCCGTTGGGACAGCGGCCTGTGTCAGTGTGTGCCAGGGAAACCTGCGTGCACCCCTGTTGGAGGCTGCGTGCTCGGGGTAACGTGGTGCTGGCTTGTTTTTGTGGGAATACTGCAGGAGGCCTCGTGACCACAAATATCTGAAGTATTCAAGCATCAAAAATGAAACAGCTGTGGCAATGCTCAGGGCAATACAAGGAGGCAATAGCACAAGAAGTGCGTACAGAAGAGGTGTCCCTCTTGCTCTCGAGGTGCATTAGCCATGGGAGCGTGGCTAGACCACCAGGTTTGGTCCCCTAAGGTCGTGTGGGCACAGTGCTACAAGCTGTATGGCAGGAAACAGTCCTGGCTGACAGGTGTGAGGTTATTTTCTTACAAAAAGGTGGTGTTTATTTTCTGCTTTGAATGCCTGCAAATACCAGGGTTTTAGCAAGGCCAAACAAACCTCCTCTCAAATCAGAGGCAGCAGGTGCAGTGCATGGTGGTGACTGGCATGAAGTCTATTGTGTCTCCTCCTTCTGTGTTTATGTCAGTCTGTAACTCTTGTTGCTCGTTATGCTTATCACATAGCTTTTAATAGTTACAGAGTGTGCTTGAATTATGTTTGAAATTCAAATCTCATACAAATGGAGGCTTGTTCCTGAACCAGCGTTTGTGTCGGAGAGGCAGCGGGGAGGGGGCTGGTAGTATTTCCTACACATTGTGTGGACTCACATTTTTTTTTGTTGTTGTTTTTCATTGCAGCAGGAGTCAAAGGAAGAGAGTGGATTGCAAATTAAAAGAACCAAACAGCAGCTGGATAGAACGAAGTTTGCTGCTAAAAGAAAAATTGCACGTAGGTCTCAAGTGTGGGCTTGGGGAAGCATATGGGTGCTGAGCAGTTCCCACTGTTTGCGTTAGACGTTGTTTCCCTTGCAGAAAGGCTGTGATGGAGCTCGGGATGTGCAGCTCTCGGGGAGCACCCTCCTCAGTGGCAAAATTTGGCTTCCTGCATAGGCAGACTATTGCTTCTTTGCTCCCAAGGCTGCATGTGCACAAGCGGGTGCACTTCTAAATTAGGTGTGTGGGGGTGTCTGCCCCTCATCAGGTTTCCAGACTGACTAAAGCTGGTCTGAAGATGTTGTCTGTGATCATGAAGTACTTTCCTGTTTAGGCCTCTCTGCTGCTCTCTTCCCCTGAAACCTTGTGATGCGGTGACACAGCAGCAACTGTTCAGGAAAGATCTCAGTTGCAGTTGACAGTTCTCTGAAATCATCTGCTCACAGCACAGGGCAGCCAGAAAAGCCAGGAATGTTGGGCATCATCGGGAAGGGTGTTAAGAGCAAGAGATTTGTTACGTGTCATTTTGCTGTTATATAAAATGTAGGTGCTCCCACATCACACTGTGTGCAGTTCTGGTCTCCGCATCTCAAGGACATGGTGGAGCTACAGGATATCTGGAGAAGGGCAGTAAAATCATTAAGGGCAGCAGCAGCAGAGCAGCAGCATTAAGGGAGAGACTGAAAAGCCTGTGACTCTTCATTTGGGAGAGGAGAAGGCTGAGAGGGATGGAATCAAAGTTCACATCAGGAAGGCAGTATGTAAGTTGAGCACAGAGCTGTTGTTTGCTAGCTCCTGCAAAGTCAGAATCAGAATGCACTTAGTAGAAATAGCAGGAGATAGGTTTAAAACAGATAAAAGCAGGTAAATCTTTACACAGCACAGAGTGAACTCCTGGAACATTTTTACCACAGGAGGTTGTAGAGGGTTTGGTATCAGCAGCTTTAATGATGGATTAAACACATTCATGGACGACAGGTCTACAAACAGATGCTAAGAGGAACAGGCTGGCATATTCCCTCTAACATCCATCATACAGCAGTTCTGAAAGCTGTGGGTGAACGGGCAGAAGGGACCACTGAAAGGGCCAGCATGTGCATGCTCCCTGCAGAGCATCATTTTTTTGCTACAGTTGCTTGGCCAAATGGACCATTGCTGTGATGCGGAGGATCAGCTCTCGTGTTCTTAACGCTTTGCAAGGCAGCAGTCTGGCACGTTAAATTCAGAATATTTTAAAATTAGAGGATGTTTTCTACTGCAAAACCCAAAGCAATCACTGAACAAAATGGAGCACTCTGGAGCTCCACGAGCAGCAGCAGTTGGGCATGTCTGTCCTCAGAGGTCTTGTGTGAATTAAATTGTTTTTAATAGAGGCCTGAGGCCATAGCATGAAACAGCCTGGCTCTTTGTGGGGGTTGAAATCCACTGTGCACGCCCTGTGTCGAACAAGTAAGATAACAGTCGGAAATGAGGGAAGAGTGTTTTTGTTTGCTTGTTATTTTTTTTTTGAGATAAACGAACTGAATGTGACCACAGATAGGATGCTAAGAGCGCCCTGTTGCTGCAGTTGGACGTCCTCTTTGAGCGTGGCTGGTTTAAGCAGCTGGTGTTGTGAGATAGGTGTTCTGGGTGCTCCAGAAAATCTGCATGAGACACTGCCAGCTCTCTAGCTGTTGTATAACAGGAGGGTTTTGCTGCATTTTTAGATGCTGAAATTCTTGGTAATAGCTTTTCTCTTCCTGGGGCAAATGCAGCGTTTTTTGTTTGCTTCCCTGTGAGTGTCTGTGTGTCCTTGAAGCAGTAGCTTGGGGGTATCTGACCAGCAGTTGGTTGTGTGCATTGAAATGTCCAGTCCACTGGCACCTTGCCCCTAGGAAAGGCGTTGTGGAGGGTAGGAGAGCGACCAGGATTTGTATTTTTTTCACTGTCTCCTCCTGCTGTGGGTCAGATAGCTCAGAGTCACCTCATGATGTAAACACTGCACTGGGATTCCCACGTGGATGGGCACCTTCCTCAGCTGCTTTTGCCTCCCTGCTGCCAAGGAGCACCCAGTGCTCCATAGACTGGGGGCACAGCCTCTCCTGGGCATCTCTCACGTTCCCAGCAGAGCTTCACTGCTCCCCAGAACCTGCGCTGGAGCGACAGGCGCTGGGGTTTGGGTGCCACATTATATTTTCTACTGGAGAGCGGTCACCTGTTTATTAAGCACATGGGATAGGTCTGCTCCCTTGCTTATTGGAAACTATAATTAAACTTTTGGTGTTTGCTTTTAGGCAAATGAAGATTTGAAGTAGTAATTATTTTTCTCAGTGTCTTTAAAAATATTCCTTGAATTGCAAGGTAAATTGGTCTTTTGTAAAGATTTGGTGCTCCTGGGTAGAGTTAAGTTCTATCTCCTCAAAACTGGAAAATTGCAGATACTTGCAGGCTCTGGTTATAAAGCATATCCTTCCATTTTTGCATTGTTGTGGCTTTATTCATTTTAACCTAAAGCCATAACTAAAATATATCTGTGACGTTTCATCCTGACAGGATAAATGGAAATACAAAAAACCTAAAGAAGTCTCTCTCTTTTTTTCCGGATGAAGTCGGTGCTTTAAAGCACATTTGAATGTTTTTACTGTAATTGCACTTTGGATATGTGGAAATACTGAGATCCTGCATTTCCATTATTTTTGAGTAAATCTCTTATTAGTAAGTGTTAGAACTACAACTAGTGGGGTTTTGCATCTAATTCACATTGCAAATGTCAAAATGGAACATAAATCGCTTAGCAAATTGCCATATTAGCATTTAAAAAGGCTCTGAAATGGTTTAATTTGTTTAGGGCTGTAGTGCCTTCAAAACATTTTTTTCCTGACCCCTCCTTCCTTTCCGTGTGTTTCTTGGATGGGACTGGTCCCAGAAGACGATCTGTGCCGGATTCCATATTGCGTGGAGATGGACGTGTCATTAATGGATCCTGAAATGTGAAATCCAGAATTCTCAGCTTGGAATAGCAGTGCTATCCCCGCTTCTTGCTGCAGACAGCAGAGCATCCTCCAAGGAAGAGTTAGGATGTGCGTGAGCATGACCGAGTCTTCCCTGCCTGGATGGAGAAGGGCCGGTTCCCTGGAAGCCGGAGTCACCGCTGCCCCGTGAACACGGGCCGTTTCTGCGCTGGCTCCTCGGAGCTCTCCGATTTGCACGCGTCACTCGGAGGCCAACACAACGCTCAGAATTTCTAATCATCATAAATTATGACCGATGTAATCAACATCAAGCTCAGGAAGACGCGCGTCTCCGCACGCGCTGCGGAGGAGTGATGAGATGTGAAGCACAGGGTAGTGCCTGAGCAGCACAGGCAGCTCCAGAGCCCTCCGCTTAAAGCGGGTCAGCTCCCTTGGAAGGGGCCAGCCCAGAGCTGCTGCCTGCACTTGCCACCACAATTCCAAGTGGATTTGAACTCAAGATTTCCCCATCTCCAGAGCACCTACTCAGTTGGAATGTGAACTAAGTGCATTTTGTTTGTCGCTGGTTTCTTTGCCAGAGGCAGCATTTGTCTGGCACATTCCCTGTCCCCAGAGGGGAGATTGCTGTGCCAGGGAGGGAGAAGAAAACAAAATGTACACTAGTAACTCGCCAAAAAATGTTGCTTTATATTAAGCTTCATGAATGTTGATAGCCTGAACTGGTGAACACTTAGGCCCCTGTTTTAATTTAAGCACGTGGGAAGTCTTGTTGTGTTCAGTGGGGGGGAGTGATCACACGTGCTGCGTTTCTTGCACATGTCAAGGTTTGCAGTATCTGGCCTAATTTTCCCTGCTGTGATGGTCTGGGCAGGGAAACAAATCAGCCTGTACTCGCTGAGTGCTCGGGAGGTGCTGGGTATTATGGAAGTGCTGAGCATTACTGCTGGTTTTGGGGAGCTTTCCTTGTGCACCAGATTGTAGCGTGCTTTCCATTAGAAGGGCTCTTTTTTTCTCTAGTCCCTTCTGGCTGTAACATTATAGAGTGACTTTGTCCAAGGACAAAAGATCCCCATGAGTCCTGAGCGCGCTGCAGTCTGCCTTCACTTCAACCTCTTTCTTAATTTTTAAAGAAATTTCCCAGGGAAGAAAAGAAAAACAACAACAACTAAATGCTGATCTGGTAGGACACATAAGGGAATCTACTGCTGGTATTCAGAACAGTCAAAAACCACCCAGATCCTGCTTTTCTGGGGGAAAAAAACAGCCAGCTGGGGGAAGGGCAGGCGGGCGCCCGCTGCCGTGTGGCTGCCTGGCTCTGTGCTGTCCTGCCAGGCTCTGCTTGACACAGGGCGCTGCGCTGGGAGGCTGCGTGTGCTGCTGGGGACAGGATGGGTTAGAGCACGGGAGCCCGTAGCTTCCGAATGCAGCTTTATCCAGGGATGCTGCTGTCCCAACCCAGGCTGCAGGGAGGGCACGTTTCGTGCTTGGGCAGCCTTTCTGCTCAGTTCCCCTGCGCTCAAGCTCGTGTAACCCATCAACACGGGCCTTTTGGTTCATGCATGAGGTGGCGTGTGCCTGATTCTGCCTCGAGGAGCGAGGGGGTTTTGAAGGAAATCTGTCAGCTCGTTGCCAGTGCGAAGATGTATTTTTCAGCTCCTGAGAGAGCTGTTCAGTTGTTTTCTGAGCTGCACTCTGTTCTGCAGGCGTTGTATATTTTAAGAATAGTGAAAATGTTGGAGTGAATCTAAATAAATAGGTGTTTTTCCAAAGTAACTAAGTGCTTTGTTTCTAAATAGCCAGCCTCAACTTCTTGAGTGAGGAATCTTTTCAGGAAGAAATTTTCTGCTGAAATAGTACTTACAACTCAAGCAGCCCTTTCCCATGCATGGCTGGCTTAGTGATCCCATGGAGCAGCGATGTGAGCAGAAGGGGGGTGTATCCATGTGAAAGATCCTGCATGGAACCACCGAAGGAGTAACATTATCCTCTGTAAAGATTCACACCAGCCACTTGGGGTGAATTTTTGCTCTTGGTTAGGTCTCTGACATTTTGCAAGTGTATTTATGTCAGAAGGCAATGGGACATGTATTAGACTAATAATGAAGTAGATTGGAGAAGGACTGCTCTTTATCCTGCCCTGCTTCTGAGTCAATTCCATGTAAAAATATCTGTGCTTTGAAAATGCACCTTTTTCTCCACTGAGGACCTGCTGCATGTAGCTATAGTGTATGCTTTGGATGAGAGCGTTAAGATGTCCCATGGTAGTTAATACACCTAAGGATTCAGTGTTTAGATTGCTATAGAAACCCTAACTGTATTTCCTGATTTGTACTCAGTGATTCAGCTCTGCACACATGTACTATTTTCATTTAGCGTTGCCTGCTCCCGCTTGGTAGTACCTTTTAAGGAAAGCTGAGATGTGGTTGTTTTGCTCTGTGCTCATCCTGGGGAGGGGAGGCTCTTTGGGCACCTCTCTCAAGATGCTGGGTAAATATTGGGTGTTTACGTACACCTGCAGCTGTGGCTTGACATTATCCTTCCTTCCTTCCTTCTGCAGAGATGACTGAAGAGGAACAGTTTGCTCTGGCCCTGAAAATGAGTGAGCAAGAAGCCAGGCAAGTGAACTGTCAGGAAGAGGAAGAGGAGGAGCTCTTGAGGAAGGCCATTGCTGAGAGCCTTAGTGTGAGTGTGCTTATGTGAAGAGGCTTACTAGGGTCCTTCAGAAACGTTGCATTCTGTGCCTGCTCTGCCATATTGCACAAAACAAGGTTTTACTGGGGGCCTAGCTATTTCTGGCACAGGCTGGAGATAGACCAGCCACAGAGAAGTTGTTTTTATCATTCCTAATGAGGCCTGGGAAGTCTAAACTGGTCTGTGCTCTCACTCAGAGGGCAGTTTTGGCCTGTGGGGAGACAGCCCCCAGTTTCCAGATGCCTGAGTTGCAGCTGCCGGGAGTGTCCTTGGTGGGCTCTGCTGATAGAGAACCAACCTTGTGTTTTTCAGAGCTGTCAGCCCTCAGAGTCCTCTGACGCAACGCCCGAGTTGCCTGCAGAAGCAGTGGGCAAAACAGGCCCAAACGACCTCGCCGAGCAAGAAGGCTCTGAGATCCTGGGAGGTCTGGCACTCTGCCCTGACACCCCTCGCTCCGAGTGCAGCTCCCACTCACAGAGTGCAAGAGCTGATGGGAATGGACAGATGGATGTCGCCCGGAGTCCCCTGGTAGTGTTGAGGCGGTTAAGCCAGGAAATCGTTGAAAACTCACTAGTATCCAGCATAATCGTGTCTCGGGGGAAGGGCCAGCCTTTACCAAGGTCAAGTGAAAAGCCTTCCTCACCAGCAAGAAGGGATTCTGATAGCCTGTTACCCAGCGCTTTTGGAGAGGACCTCTTCTCTTTGAGTCCCACCTTTGGCAGGATTGCTCCAGGCTCCTGGCGACTGACACCTCGGAGACTGTTCACAAGCCCCCGCAGCCCTTCAAAAGCAGAAGAGCACGAAGCAAAAGAGCAACTCCTGCCTGGCACTTGCTCCTCTGTGGGAGCAGCCAGCGCTGAGAGCCCAGCCGCGCTCTGTAACACCTGGACCACGGACAGCTGTGACAGTCCCGAGAGGAGCTGCAGAGGGGCAAGCACCAAACACACCCGGCAGCCCGGGCACGGCACCAAAGTCTGTGTTTCCACAGAGCAATCGGAACAGAACAAGGGGCCTGGCAGTGCCCCAGAGCTTTGTGTGCTCAGGGGGCCAGAGGAGGGCAGGAGCAAGGAGGAGGCGAGAGACACAGTGCACTACTACTGGGGCATTCCGTTCTGCCCCAAAGGAGTGGACCCCAACCAGTACACCAAAGTCATCTTGTGTCAGCTGGAGGTTTACCAGAAGAGCCTGAAGCAGGCTCAAAGGCAGCTATTGCATAAGAAGGAGTTTGGTAACCCAGTTGTGCCCAGCCCTTCTTCCCTGAGCCAAAATGAGCTCGGGAAAGGAGATCAGATAAGTAGGGAGAACGGGCTTGCAGATGACACAGAAGATGGAGACCCAGAGGTGCAGAAGGAGTCTGAGAGCATCACCTGGCTCCTCCCTTTGAAGAGAAGGGAGGCAGAGGACAGTCCAGGGCAGAACATGGAAGAGGAGAAGAACTCTGCCTCTGACGATGAGCCAACCACCAGCTACTGCCAGGTAAGAGCTTGACCACAGAGCAGCGTTTGAGCAGGGATGAGTCATGCTCTTCCCTCCACTTTAGGGTTCATTTCCTTCTGCAAAGCAAACACTGCTGATGAACAATGTAAGGGAGAGCAAAATCTGCAGGCTGAGATTCAGCTCACAGGTAGTGGCCACCACGCAGCCTGGCAGTTGTCCATTAATGCACCACTGAGGTGATGACTTCCAGCTGACACTGCTCCTCCAAGGTGTTTGTGGCCGTATGTCACGGTGGCGAGCTCGGAGAGAGCGCTGACTGCTCGTGGGCCTGGCAAAGCAGCTGAGGGAACGTGTGGCCTGTGGGGAGCTCTCTGCTTGCCGTTATGCTCTGCTTAGCCATGGCTTTGCAGGCAGAAACTGCGCTCTGTCCTTGCAGTGCCTCTTTCACGTGGTCCTTCGTGTTTGAATGCACCTCACCCTCGCACGGGCGCTTTGCCTCTTGTTCCTCTGGCCATAGCTGGTGGCTCTGCATCCCTGCACGCGGGTGCTGCCTGCCCAGAGGTCATCTGTCACCACAGCAGCCCTGGCTGTCCTTGTCCCCTGCTCGGGCACCCTCACGGCGCGCTGGCTGCTTGGGGTTCGTGGACACTAGGTGTCAGCCTGTGTCTCCGTCAGGGCGCTCGCGCTGGAGCGGAAGGCAGCTTTCTGTCACTGCTAAGTTTAAACAGATTGCTAGTCAGATGAAGTATTTATTACTGCTGTATTTTAGGTTTGTGTCAGCCTTTTCCAACCCTCATTTTTCATAATGACTTCACTACCGGATCGTTGTATAACTTTATCTTCTCTATGACTGAAGCCTCGGCTCTGTTGTTCCTGTTTTCAAGTGTATTTGATCATTTACCCTGGTGTTAGAAAGATACTTAACTTGTTTTGTGATATTTATATTCTGTCTTGTAATATTGAACACTTAGGAAAAACGTCATGTCTGCATTTTTTGGTTGCAGAAAAAAAAAGAGCAGAGCAGTCTGTGCTGAAATGTGGCTTTTCACGACAGTGCTTGGTTCGGGTTTAGCAGGTACAGATTTAAACAAGCCTTAGAGGTGACCTGCAGAGCGAAGAAATGGACTTGTGCCCTTTTTCATTTCTTCAGGATAGACACAAAGACCTGAAAGGTTCTTAATGCAAACTGCTATTTTTTCTCTCTGTCTTTTCCTTTGAAAATGGAGGTTTCTTTATTCTGGAAGATTGGGGTGACTGCAGATCTATGGAGGTGTAAGCTAAAACCATAGGAAAGCTGCAGCAGCTGGGAGGGGCATGAACTTCTAATCATTATTGAAAAATGCAGGGCATTTTTTGTTGTTCTCCATTTAACGCTAATACCTAATTAATTCTTGGGGAGAAAAGAGGTTTTAGTGGTGCTGAGTGGGAAACTCTAACGTACTCATCCTGACCACAGGGGCTCTCTAGAAGAGCCACAGAAGTGTAGATTTAACCTTTCTGATACTTTAAGGTGGAAGGAAAAAAAAAAAACAAGGAAGGAGGGGAAAAGCAAACTTAAAATTTCAACCCTGGGCAAAATTCTACGAGTCTTTTATTTACTTGAGAGAAACAATTTCTAAATATCCCTTCATCTGCCTTATCGCTTTTAGCTTAAGAGGTTGCTCCCTTCTCCTCTCGCCTCTCTTTGCAGTCGCCTGCTGAGGCCAGCGCAGGTGATTTACTTTCAAGATCGATATGTTTGATGTTTGCTCGTGCCTCGTCTCGATTTCTTTTTTCCATCAAATGCAGTTCCACGGGCAGGGACAGAGGAGGGACAGAGCCGCCGTGTGCCGCGCTGCCCCGGGGCTCCCCCGCCGCCCCGGGGGCGGCTCCGCTGGTGGGAATCACGTATTTGGGGCTGTGCCAAGGCTGGAAAATGTCCCCGGGGACTCGAAGCTGCTCTCTGCCTTACTGCATTTTTTCAGCAGTTCTTAGAAAAGCTCCTTGACTTGTGCTGTGCCAGTGCGAGGAGGGTGCAAACGGTGTCCCTGGGGAGCCCCTCTGGATGCCCGCTTTGACACCTGTGTCTGCAGCTGCAGTGACCTCCTGTGCAGGCCGTGTCCCTTGCTGGGACTGCCATGGGCTGCCGAGTAGCTCTGGCATGGAGAAAATCACTGTTGTCAAGAGATCTGCTCGCTTGCGAGGCTCTAATAACAAACCTCAGGGCTAATCGAACGCCTTTCTTTGTACTCTTTCAAATAAGGTTAGGAGATTCCTGGTCTTTAAGAGATTTAGAGAAAAAGGCCCGGCTCGTGGAGATTCCAAATCTGTGATCTGAACCGGTGCCGTAGCCTCAGACGCATCTACTGGGGATAGCAGAAATGTGGTGACTCAGTATTTGTGACCAGAGCAAAGATGGCAAAAGATGTGCACTGTTCAGGAGACAGAGAAATAACAATACAGGAGGAGGTGGAGAATTTTATGCTAACAGCAGGTTGTGCCACAAAGAAATAAAGAATATCTTAGGTAAAAAAATGAACTTTTTTGGATTGGAACTCTGGTCAGAGGCTTTGTGTACATCAGCCATCTAAGACTGGAGTTGATTTAAGTCAAGATCTTTGGTGAAAATCAAGTTTAAAGACTTTAATATACTCAAGGAAAGGAGGAGAAGACTCCCTTGGATTTCTCTGAGAAATGACATGAGAAATTGCAGGTCTGACAGCAAGGACTGCTAATAAACTGTTGTAATTCCAGCTGATTAGAGAAGGGCAGGTGTAGTATGTACACTGAAGAAGAAGAAAGGGATCTGGGTAATGACTGGCAGGTTAGCCTGACCTCAGCAGTGCATAAGGCTTTTGAACATTTTTTAGAGGAAAGAGTAAGTAAAGTCATAAAGGCAAATGGAAAATGGGATAAAACGCACATGGATTTACCAGCTGTAGATTGTGCAGTTAATCCGTTTCCTTGCTTTGATGGGACACCTGGGTTCCTGGTCAAGGGAACGACAGCAGAGCTTATCTGTGTGAAATTCAGAGAAGTGTTTCTGGTCAAACATGGGCCACGCTCAAGGTCATCAGCTGGGATAGATGGGGCCACTGCAGTGTGAGGGATGCGAGGGGACACCAGCAAGCTTGGGCTGTTTGGCTCGGCAGCAATGCAGGTGGGAAAGGGTGGGTAGTGCTGCCTACAAATACAGCAGGGTAGATACCAGGGACGGGCAGAGGCCATGGAAGTGCAAGGACAAGGTCGGCATGATGGTGATGGACACAGGCTGTCCAGGGGTTCCCCTGGGCAGCAGGGTGGCAAAAGGTGCTGCCAGCTGTTACCGCAGAGGGTTGCTGGCCCACCAAAAGGATGAATGGGGGCAGAAAGCTGGCTAGTTCAAGATGGATAGTTGGCCATTTTGAAAAAAAAAAAACCAAAACATAATTTAGTGCCCAATACCATGGCAGAACCCCGGGGACCCAGCGGATCCCTTTGGACCCAGTTAGCAGTGCTCACTGTTTTATGTAATAGCAGATTTTTTTTTCCTTTTCAGGCCTCCCAGGTGCTGGCTGCAGTGGACATGCCAGAAGATGGGGAACCAATGCAAATTACACAGAGGTGAGGAGGGTCATTTCAGAGCGTGGGGCCCGGGGCCTCAATTCTTCCACTCCCCTGAAGCAGTTTGAGCCAGGGTCTCGCTGGGGCTCTCCGGAGCTGCCGAGCCTGGCAGCAGGTCTTGCTGCAAAGGCTGCTCTAGTTGCTGCTGGTTCCTAGCCCTGGAAATATTCCTGGTTGGAGCGTTGTGGGAGAGAGGTGAGGTGCCGCAAGGGAGAGGGATCTGTTACTACTGGCACTTTATAAGACCTGCAAGCTGGATTTTAGCACAAGTAAAAGGACTTGATCCTTACCCTCTGAAGCTGTGTCTAATTTGGCATACAGTAAAGCTGGAGCTTGGGATAGGTGAGCTGAAGGTGAGTTATAGGAGTGGGTTGGAATGATCTGTCTGCAAAGGCACATACACGGCATGTTGGAAGGATTACTGGATGTGTGCGTGTGTATTTTTATATTCTTGCCTTGCTGCAGAAGAGGAAAAGGGAGGAAAAGTAGGGAGGAGGAAGCCAGACGGCACTGCCTATCAGCCAAAGATAGAGTGCAGTGCTCCAGAAAAGCCACTTCAGCATATGACAGGTGTGGGACAAGTCAACAAGATTTTGTTCAGATTTAAGCCTACTCTTCTTTTTTCCTTTTTCCCCCTTTTTTTTTTTTTTGGTGGGATGCAGTTCTGCAGTGAAGGCTGTAGGAAAAGCAGGGTAAGTGAGAGCAAACAGGAGAGGATTCAAAGGGGAAGTTGCAAGAGAGGGCAGATAGGTCATGCCTTTTATTTGTTAGGTTTTATAATCCAAACATATTTTGGAGTAGAACTGCCAGCTTTTCTCCAGTCTAACGATGTTTGGTCTGAACAGTTGATATTAATATGCAAGGTTTGAAAATCCCTTTTACTTGCACTTTTCTAACAAGCTTAAAGCTTACCTTGGGGAGCAAAGGAGCTGCGGCTGGAGTTGCTGCAGGTGCCAATGTGCCTGGGACAGCCGAGTTTTTAGCTTGCGTGTTTGTGTGGAAGGCACCAAGGCACAAACTGAGGAGCTCTGGCCTCCCTCGTGGTTAAGGCAGAAGAGGCCCGGGTTGCGTGTGAGGAGAGAGGGATCCCCGCTGTGTCGCTGATGGGCTCGGAGGCCTCTCTGGCTTGGCCGTTGGCGCGTTTCAGCTGGTGGCTCCTTGGTGCCCTTGGCCAGCCGGGCGCTCCCGGCCGCCCTCCCGCGGGCTGAGCTCCCCTCGGCGCGCCGTGCCCCTCGTTCAGCAGCTGGCACAGCTGCAGGAGGGCAAGAAATGGCTGCAGCCTTCTCAGTTTTGTGCACTTTAAGTGTTACCATCTGGCTCCTGGTAATTTGCCAGAGCAGTCTTGGGTAAAGCTCAGGCACCCTGGTTGGCCAGCCTCAGCTCCACTTAATGGAAAAACCCTGCTCCAAGTTGTCTGGAGGTATTGAAAAAGGTTTTGGAAGCAGCAGTAGCAAAAGGAAGCTACTTTGCTTTCTGTGGGCCACTCTGCCTGATTGTTTTATGCTTTGTGCAGACTATGGTAGATTGGGGTTTTAATAAATGATTATAGGCTTTGTTACCAGGAGATAGCTGGTGTAGCAAGCAATGTGGTTTGACTTCAAATTGATTAGCCCATTTTATAAATGTCATAGCAAGTTGTTTTGTGTGAGTTCTTTTGAAGTGAGCCCTGATGTTAGACACAGAGTAAAACATGCTCAGCCTGGATTCATAACAAATGCTTTGAGAATCTTTATTTAGAGAGAGAAACCACTTGTGATTTCCTATCAGAATTTTGCTATTTATCATAAATCAGCAGTGGCTGTTCTCTCCTCTCTAAGGCCTACAATTGAGCTTAATAAATCTTCTGTTTGTCAGTATGGGGATTCATGTTTTTAAAGTGTATTCTTGCATACTTGATCAGACTAATCAGAAAGCCATGCAAAGCGCTGAGGGTGTCAGCATGGGTGCCAGACTGCTCAGCAATGCCTGCCTGTTCCAAAAGACATTGTGCTCCGTGGGGAGATATAATGGAGGAATACGAAGGTCGAGAAGAGAGGACTTGTGCAAAATGCTACGTGAAGGAAGCACTACGGCAGTGTTGGCAGGACTTTGCTGCCAGGAAGCTTTGTGGCGTATTGCATTGGTGCTGCTTCTGGCTGCCGCGGGAGGAGGACGAGAAAGAAAATTAGCAGTATGAAGAGGGAAGGAGAAGCAAATCTGTGTCTTTCCTCTATAAAATGAGCCTTGACACAGGGGAGGATGTGCTAGTACCTGCAGAACTTCCTAATCTAAGAGCAGAAAAGTCAGAGTCCCACAGATATGAGCAAGTGTTTTTCGCGCCTTTCGCATGAAATACTGACTCTTTGTCTTTTTTTTTTTTTTAATTCTTCTAGAAGGAAAATATTTCCTTTGGGTATTTATGCTTAGGATAGCATTTTAAGTCTATGCATTTCTCTGTTCTGCTGGTCATTGGAAATTAAGAAGTTGTATGCCTTTCTGAACTGTGTGAGATGGGCAGGTGCAACTGTCACACTTATTTGAGGTGAGATTTATGTGCATATTTATATTTTGACAGCATCTCTGCATTGACCTCACTTGGCAGTAGGAGAAGTCCAAATACTGCCACAGAAAACTCTGCTGAAGAAGAGGTCAGTGTTTGCCCAGGTAAGAGGCACTTAAGAATGTTCTGAATATTGCAGTGAAAGTAACACACTGATACAATTCAGAAAAAGTAAGAGAATTGTCAAGTTATTTGAGCAAAACAACATCTTCCCAGCTTTGCTTATGAGCACTGAAAGTAACTGATTGATTTTGTTTGATTCCTTGTTTTGGCATGCATTTCATTTAAGACAGTGTTACAGCTCTGTCTTTGCCAGAATGTATGTCAGGGCAGAGTGCTCATTCAAAATGAGGTGTCAAGAGTGGTCTCTTCAAGACCATCAGGAAGTTTTCAGATCCTTTAGTGTAAAGCTGTGTAAAGCATAAGTGACTTTTCTGTTATATTAATTAGCACACGTGTTTGGGACCAGTGAGATTTTTCTTTTCTGGTCTTCTCTAGCATGTTGGAGTCTTCTCTTAATTTCCCAGTTCAGGGTTTTAGGTGAGAAACCTGATGAAAAGACGGCTCTTGTTCACGAGCATCTGTACAGGGAGAGGTCATGGTGGTGCTCGGAGGCATTTTTTGTTGCTAACGAAAATGTGGAGGTCTGAACAAGGTGCAACTATGTGGCAGGCCACAGAAGGGGAGCTCTGGCTGGCTCCTTGGGTGTGAGGGAGGGCTCTATTCTTGCATTGTCTCTATCCCAGCAAGTGTCCCACGCACATTGCCTCTGTCTAGTCTCACTCCCCATGAAGCTGCTAAGCTACAGTGGCTTTGTCCTCACACCATTGTGCTGTGACTTTTAACCCCTCATCTGGCTGTGTTGTTGCACATTGTCTGTTAACATTTGTGTCAAGTCTAAAAAAAGTGTTTAGAAGCTGTGAAAACACTGTTCAGAAATGGGCTGAGTTACACCAACAAGTGAGGAGAAAGTTTGGGGGCTGCAAACCTTCCCTGAGATGGTGATGTTTTTTGCAGAGACCCAGCCGAGTCCGTCAGAAGAAGAGCCAGAGAGAGAAGAGCTGGGCTTGGACAGCAAAGATGCCTCTATGCAGGTAAGAGTGTGTGGAGCTGGGTAAGTTGTCCTGCTTCCAGCCTGCCTCCCTAGTCTTTGGCTCAGCTGGGCTATGCTAGCATTTCCCCTGGGGTGGCTGAGAGCATGAGTTTCTGCTGCTGGGATCCTCATGATCGCTTCTCTTTTCACTTTTTTTTTCAATCCTTTTGTAGCTCAAGTTGCCTTTGGCCAAGGGCTGCCTGCAGCTGCCTCTGGAGCTGGAGAGTTGCTATCAGTTCCAGTTTGTTATTCTACATCATGTCCATTTCTGTCTGGGTGATGTCCTCAGTCTGAACAGCAGCACTGTTGCTTGCCCAGAGTTAGAAGCAGAGTGCTGTGGTAGTCAGTGATGCAGGGTATTCCAGGAGCTCTGGTGGGATTCCTGGTGAATCTTCGTTGCATCATCTTTCGACACATTTTTCCCTGCTACAGTCCTTTGAACTTGTGTCTTTTGTTTTCCACAGACCGTTTCTGAGAGGAGAGATTCACTCGGAGAGATTGGGTTGAGATAAAGATGACATTGAAATGTTGAGAGGAGGCAGCTGATGGTTTGCAGTCCAAGGAGAGTGAACTGAGCCCGGGGATCCGGGTTTTTATGCAGCAGCAGTTAATAGCAGTAGTAAGTCAGTGGCAGGGCCATCCTTTCTGCCTGCCGATGCAGATGCGCGTTGTTGTGTGGCTGCTTTTCCTGTGCTGGCACACCTGTGCAGCAATTGCTGTGCAGCTGTCGCCGTACCGACATCTGACTTCAGTTCCTGCTTCTGATAAAACTCCCTTTGTCTATTAATTTAGAGAACTGTATCAAAGGGGTTGCCAAGTACTGCTCTGGCAGGGTACATGAATAGAGAATCGTACAGCTCTTGACAAGAGGGTTCATTTGTGGATGGCGCATTCTGGGAGGCGGCAGCTTGTGCAGGGTGTCTGCAGCTCCCATGTCTCTTTGTCACAGGCCTTTTAATAAACCAGATTGTGCTCTCGTGTGCCTTTCATTCTGCGTGTATCTCAAAGTAGCCCTCTGTCAATCAGAGCCTGCAGCAGGAGGAGGCAGGAGAGACAGTTGTCCTTCTGTGCAGGGACCTGTAGCCTTAGCCACTAAAGTGCTTTCATGGCCCATTCAGGTATGGCCGGAATATTGGCCTGTCCCTCACACGTTGTAGATGGTGCCTTTGGCTCTCAAGCTTCTGCCTAGACAGCTGCTGGGCACAAGATGGTCAACCCAGTGTGGAGAAGTGATGTGGTTGTGCTTGCTAAGGATTGCTCAGCAACAGTATCACTGGCAGCAAGTCCTGAGCCTGCAGCTGCCCAGGAAGACTGCTGAAAAAACTGCTGTGTAGATGAGCAGATAGTGTGGAGCAGGCAGAGACCAACGGGACTGACGTTTTCCCAGCAGATGCTGAGCCAGGACAGAGGAGTCTTGTTCTTGAGCTCAGCCTCTAGCCTTGCTCTTGGCTGGCTGTTGGCTGCAAGTGCTATGTCTTGTAGGCACTTTTCTCTGCTGAAAAGCAGAGGCAACAATTCCTGCTTCTGGCAGGGGTGGTTGGTTCTGCAGTGAGATTTCTTAGGTTGTTCCTGCAACGTTTGGTACAAGCAATTTTGGGACTGTGGTGCCTTTTGTTACAGAATTCTGCCTTTCCCTTTAAAATTCGTAATTTGCTGCTGAACGTAGGCAGGCAGGGAGTGCAGAATTGGTGATCTCCTAAGATTGTTTTTAAAATGGCAGCTAGAAGAAGCAGTGCCTGCTACTTTTCCCAGCTTATATTTCTGTGTTGTCTGAGTGACTGCAGGTTTGATGTGAGCGTTGGGATTTGACGTGTCTTGTTTGCGCAGCTCCTCTTTGTGATGCCCCACGGTGAGGACTTCACAAGGTGTAGCGACCCTCAGATGTGAGAGCAGAGTGTGAGAGCAAATGCAGTAGGCGATGTATCTCAACAGCCTGTGTCCGGATGGAGAAATTCTTGAGGCAACTCTTCCATCGGGCAGAAAGTTTCCTTGGAAGTGAGTGTGCTGTCTGGCCTTGGGGGTTGCTGCCCGGGGACTGTCAGCCAGGTACCGGGAAGGGGTTTTCTGGGTTGGATTCTCAGTTCAAGCCCGGTTCTGCAATCTCTTGCTTAGCTTCTCTGAGTCAGTAAAGTGTTCTTCTTCCCCTCAGGACAGAAAAATGAGGATGGGTGTTCAGGATGAAACCCTCATTTGGCAAAGCAGGTGATAAACCAAGTAATACGGCAAACTGCTGCAGCGGCGCTGAGCATCTTGGCTGACCCCAATTACTGCTTCCCCGAAACTACACTGTTGGAGGGAAGCAGACAGCAGTTTAGCTGCACACACGTCACTGCTTGGAACCAAGGACAGAAACTCTCCTGTATTAATTTCCCATGGCTTTCTCCTACACGGTCAATACTTAAATAAGTTTTTTAATCATTGTAAAAGAATAAATTCTTTGTTAAATCTAGATAAATCTTGTAGAAAGCTTGACTAGGCAGAGCTCTAGTTACAGATGAGATGGTTCAAGTCTGCTGTGTCTTGGACGCATTACTAGTGTGGGGAAGAGTTTGCATTTCAGAGGCTCAACAGCTGTGTAATCAATGCAAAAGGAGAGATCAGTGCTAACAGCACCCAGAGAACAAAGATGGGCTGTGACATTTTGCCCTCACAACATGGGTGCAAAGCCACCTCTAGAAATTTTGTGTGACATGGATTTTAAATGTATTGCCTCTCTCCTTGGTCTGTGGCCCCTTTGATGACTGTTCCAGCCACATCCTCTAGAGAGGAGGAGCTCCCTGGGGATCTTGCCGTACTCGCCATGTGCACAGCAGGCTCCTTTCATCCTGGAGGAAGATCTCGTCCCAGACAGTGCAGCCTGTGTAGCGTGGATCATGTCCAGAGACTGATGAGCACAACTCAGGTGTTGAACTCTTGCTTTGCCCCATGAATTTTCCATCAGTTTCGCTTCTGAGCTTTCTTGATTAATGGAGGCTTTGCTGTTTTTCTGTGGTAGTGCAGGTGATGTTTGCCTTAAACGTTGTGCACGGCTGTGCAGGGAAGTTTCATCGTGATTCGTGTTGCCTTTGGAAGAAGAATTAGACAGTACTGCACAGCTTACTCAGCCAGTGGTGTTATTTCTGACCTGTATGTGCTGAAGGGAGAATAAAACTTATCGAGAAAAGCTGCGTCTATGGCGGTAGCTCTCCGACAGCACAGAGCTCAACACCCAGCAAAGAAGGAGAAGCAGCACAATGACCTGTCTGGCTGATTATTTTTCCCTTTCTCCTCTTCTTCCCTCCTAGGCTGGTGGAGATGAGAACGCCAGCAGGGCTGTGCCTGAGGGCAGCCCCGCAGCCGCTGGGCGCGTGTCGTGCCCGCTGTGCGAGCGGCGCTTCCCGGCCACGGAGATCGAGCTGCACGCCATGTACTGCAACGGCGCGGGAGAGGAGGCTGCCCACGACTCCCCAGGTCTGCCGGGGCTGCCTCTGTGCGTTTGCTCGCTGTGCTTGTCCCCCTTTCCTGCTGCTTGCAGCCGCGTTCTGTAATCCTGTCCCCATCAGGACATTTTGTGTGTGGCATGGAGAGAGGTTTGTTCTCTCTGCCTTTTTCTTCCTCCAAGCTGGCCAGGGAGAAAGTTACTGGAGGCTCCTGTCTTTCCAGCACCTACGGCACAGACAGCTCTTCTCTCTGAATGGCTTCATAATTGATCATATTATTAGTCCCTTGGAAAGTGTGTAAGCTGAATATTACCCCAGGATCTGGCCATGGCTGCCTCACTCAAAAGGCACATCTTTTGTGTGCTTTGTGAGGGCCTGCAGAGAATTTGCCAGTGCTAGAAAATGACAGACTCCAGAGCCACGCAACTGAGAGCGTCCTTCAGAGCTCCCGAAAAGGGAGCATTTTCTGCATGACTCCGAGCACAGTCTGCGCTGTGCAATGAGTCTGACATTTGTGTTTATATAGGTGATTTGCTCAGCAGTGAGAAACTGAGAAAAGTTTCCCTCTTGTTTCTCTAAAATTATATAATGATAACTATCGACCTGGGAGCTCAGATCTTTCTTCTTCATGTGAAGACTGAAGCGTCGGAGTGCGGTCAGAATGTTGTTATTAAACCCTCTTTGCAGTTCTCTCCATGTCAGTTTTTCATAACCAACCTTTGTAGAGCTTAAATGAACAAATACACCAGTTGGTTATCAACATATTCAATAAGTTATGGTTTAGCTTCTGCTTGAAATGTAAAGTCTGTGTTAGCATAATGTCAGGTAATATCAAAGTAGTAGCTTGTAATAAGATTAAGTTTTCAGGTTGTGCACATATAATTTTCAGTTACATATTGAGTTATTAAGTACAACCTTAATCTATGATGTCTAAGCAATTTGAGCAAATCAGAGCTGGTACAAGAACTCTAACTTCTGCATTTCTCTAGCAAAAGGAAGTTTCACCATGTAATCTTAATGCAGAATTGATGTAGTTTTAAAATACAGGGTCCTTGTTACACTAAATCTTTGGAGATACGACAGAAAGAGCCAGCGTAGCAGCTGGTACTGCTTGGTGCTGAATTCTGATGGGGGGTTTGTCTCTGTGGGCACAAACCAACTGCTTCTGCAAAAGGGAAATGGCCCCTGCAAGTCATGAATTATCACAGTTTTGCTGCCATCCTCAACGCTCACAAAGGTCTTATGCATGCTACAAAATGAAGCTGAATTTTTAATATACATTTTAGCAGAATATCTTTTGTCCCATGGTAATCAAGTCCCAAGTGTGCCTAGATTGAGAGTGTATCCATTGATCCTAGGGAATCCTGACTGTGATCCAGAAAAGGCTTTGAGTTTTTTGGCAATGCAAGGGAGCTTGTTCTTTCTTTTGGTGTTACATTTCAGCCGGACAAAGTTCAGGGCTGCCCTGTTCATGCTGCTCTCAGGCTGGTCTCCTTGGGGATGTAGGTAGGGATAGCTATTTTGGAATTGCTTCTCTGCTATGTTCAGTATAATCCCCCCATATGAAAACTAGCCCGAAAGAGAAGTGATTTTGTTCTCCAGTAATAGCTCTGGGAAGAGCAATGGTTCTGGGACAAAATCACATTAATTCAGGTTTTTGATTTTGAGTTATTCCAGCATTTTCCATGTAAATGTCAGACTTTGCTAGTCATAAGAGTCTCTGCCTGTGTTGTTTGGTCCAAAAGTCTTGAAGGAGCCGTGGGCTACTTGAACTTAGAGCAAAATGTGGTGTCTGGTTGGGGTTTGGCTTGCAGGGCACCAAGTGCCCGTGCAGGGATGGGAACCCCCCGGGAAGGTCTCGGCTGGTCGGAGGTGTCCAGGGTGCATGGGCAGGGATGGTGTTTAGTGCTGAGCTGAGGAACGTGCAGCCTGGAACGTGTCTTGTGGAGGTATGGAGGGCCTCTCTTTCCAGGCATGTTGTGGTGGCATCATCCCCTGACACAAAACATGCGTAAAGCTAATGTGGAGAGGTGGTGAGGGGAGGGAGGAAGTGGTTGAATTGTCTTCTGAAGCAAAAAACACAGCAGTAATCCCAAGAATGCAGCAATAACCTCATATGAAAGAAAATCAAACTTCCCTCCCCTCCTAAGCCCTCTCCTGATCTATTTAAAAAAGGCTTCAGATGCCCTTTACTGCACTGGGTCAGGGGTCCTGGCCTGTTTTAGGATTTATTAATTCCTGATACTCCCAATATCTTTAGTACTGCAGATTGCTGTAATCTTCAGTGTTTTCTGCTTTAAAATTATAAAACCATTTCTTTCATTTTTTCAACTCTTCTTCCCTCTTCTAATCATCCACCAAAGCCTTGAAGTGCTTTGAATGAGGAGGCCAGCTCAGCCTGGCTGATATTTAAGGGTAGGTTTTCAAACCATTTAGCTGGGCAAGATGAGTTACAAGGCAAGATGAGTGACAATTGCTTCCGTTGTGTATGGACGTGGTTGCCTTGGCTGGGTGCCTGGATCACTGCATACCTGGACTGTATGAAAGTCTGGTCATGAATTTCCATTTCCTTGTCGTCTGAGTAGATGACATGGGAGAGCCTGCTGGTGTTTTAGCTACTGCACCAGCTTGGGGAGCCTTGGAGCGGTAGTTGCGAGATCTGTGAATGCTGCAGATTCCCAGGGAATGAATGAACCCCTCGGAGGTGTCGTGCCAGCTCCTTCCTTTGTGCAGTCATGTGAAGGGTTTGCTTGTGAGGGGGCTCTCCGATGAAGTTGTCAGATCCGTCGCCTTCTGCTGCTGCCAATACGGGCATCGGTCTGGAAGCGAGTCTTGGCTGGTGCTGAGCATATTGAATAGGCTCGAGCTTTGGGCCGTGCTCTGTTCCTGTGGCCCTCCATCTCTGCACTCACAACATCTCAATTCCCAAGTAAGCCCAGGAAAAAGAGGATTTGATGCATCTCTTCCTCCCCAAGCCTCGAATACCACCTGAAGCAGCTGTCAATCTCCAGAGTGGCAGAAGCAGCAGTGATGGTGCTGTTAAAAAGCTCCTGACATGAATAGAAGTGGCACTGTTACAGCAGGAAGAGTAACAGAACGGGTGCGGAGAAAAGCTTCATCACTTGTGAAAAAGGACAAGATGCTGGAGAGGCTGCCATTAATAGGATCTTGCACAAAAATAGTACAGCGGGTAGTAAGAGTAGGAAGCTGAGTGCCCGGAGGAGGAACCCGCTGCAGCAGGTGCCTCGTGCAGGGTCCGATCCGGCCCTGCCGCCGCTGCCCTCCCGCCGGCCCCGGGAGGCAGCCGGGAAGGGCTCGATCCTCTTCCCGCCGGGGAGAGCTGGAGCCGAGCGCACCAGGGATCACTTGTCAACCCGGAGAAATGCGGGGCTGGTGAAAAGGTCGTTTTCAGGCTACAAAACACATCTGACCTAGCAAAGAGCATTACAGCTGGGAGAGCTACAAAGCTCCCATCACACAGCTGGTCAGGCCTGCCCGGTTGCAGTGGAGATTTTCCCTGCGGCAAGCTGTTTTTTTTCTCTCTGAAACCCCTTCCCACAGGCTGCTGGGGTGTTTTGGCAGGGGCTGTGCCTTGCCAGTGTGTGTGAATATGTGAACGGGGAACAGGCTGACTCTGCTGTGCTTCACCAAGCCCCTCGCGCTGCTGGCCCTGTTCGCTCTCCTTTGCTCCTGCTTTCAGCAGCGCAGCTGGGGGTCCTCCCCTGAGCATCTGTAGAGCTGGTCCCCGAGATCCCTAATGAGCCCATTATGCCAGATGTGTTCACTGCTTTTGATAAAAAATAGAACTGATTAACACCTGAGCTAGTGCACGAGCCCCCCGAGACGGTGTTAAAAGAATATTAACAAGTGCACGCTGCTGTGGAGAGCAGCTTTCACCACGGTGTCAAACACACATGGCAGTTGGGTTGTGGGGAGGCTGGATGGCCTGGGGGTTGGCCGTGGTTGTCCATCCTCTTAATCAAGCTGCCACTTCAAATCTGGGCCAGGCTGGGTTAAACAGAGAAGCTGCCTTGATGCCTGTGAGGAAAAAAAAAGCTGCTGTCCTCAGTCACCACCTGATGATGATGCCCACGTCCTAGGACGTGCTCGAGCTCGAGCCGGCTTCGGAGCGGGGGTCTCAGCCCCAAGAGCTCGCGAGGAGCCCGCGGCGCCTGTGCTGCTTGGGGCTGCGGATCAGAGGTGGCTGGGGGTGAAAAGCCTTCCTCTGTCACTACTGGGCATGAATATTGGGGCTAGCAGGATTGCCTCATGCTCTGGAAATGGGGCTTTCCTAAAGCTCTGAAGGATTTCCCCCATTCTCTGCAGGATTGCCCCCTTCCTTCCCACAGAATTTGTGCCAATAATAACAGGCCTATACATTGGCCTTTCTTTTAGGGAGAATATCAGGTATGGGAAGCAGTGCTGCCAGGCTGTAAAACAGCTCCATGCATTGAGCTTCAGCCAGATTGCAGAGAGTGCTTACTGCAACATCTGTTTTGGAGCTGGAATCTTGGATGTCCCTGGTGCAGCGAGCTAAGATATCCGATACGCTCCCCGAGGATCTTTGCTGGTGGCATGTCAACAGAAATATGCTGAGAGGAATTCAACTGAAAGAGACAACACTTAGACATGCTCCCTGCAAATGCCTGGAGAGCAGGTTTGGAGAGACTGCTTGGGATTGCTGAGGGAACAGAAAACGTTGGCTCCCATCATCAGCAGGCTGGTCAGGCCAGGATCTCGCTAGCTACCTGCGCGCATCGGAGCAGGCCCTGGCTTGGGAAGAGCCATCCAGAGCCCTCACGGAGCTCCATGCGGAGGATCGGGATGTCCTCCCGCTTTCACTTGCGAGGGGAGGAAAGTGGTGACCGTTCAGGCTATTTGTCAAAGCCTTCCCCTTCCAGGGGAAGGAATTACTGTGAGTGGTGTCCTGTTGATAAAGCTCTTTCTGGTGGTCAGGGCAAGTTACAGTGTGAAACAGCTACCTGATCTGTAGGTGCAGGGGGAAAAAAAACCAAAAACAAAGGAAAATCCTCCAAAAAAAAAAAAAAAAAAAAGGAGAATTGGTCACTACACCTTCTGCAGGAAAGACCTATCCCAGTCCAGTGTTTGTTTGCCTTTTTTTCTGTGGTGAAGCCTGCTGCAGACCTGAGTGGAGGAGGCTGAAATGCAAGCTCCGTGGATGCTCCGTGGGATGCGGTGGGGTGGATGGTGGGTCACCCTTTCTGCTTTGTCTCCAGTGCTCACCCGGCGCCAGAGAGAAGCGAGAAGCAGAGCTGCCGGCAGCGAGAGCGGCCCGGCGTCCTCAGGCACTGACAAGTGAGTAGGTTCCCTTGCTCCTCCGGCACTGGGTCCTGTGCTTCCGTTCTAGCTTGTCTGTGGATGTCTTTTCACTTGCATAAATTCTGGGAGATGGCCTTCTGGCAGTATTTCCCTAAGAAATTGCCTTCCCTCAGTCCCTTTTGTTGCAGTACTGGGTATTTTTATAGCAAAGCAAGAAGAATTTGCTGTGTTCAGAATGGTTATGCTTTACGCTAAGTTCCTTTTGGCCAACCCATGGCGAGCTGGGATGTGCAGTCTCTGGCCATTGTGGAGGGAGGTGCAGTTAAAATGGTGCTAACTCAGCCAGTTTCTAATGGGAGATTTGAGCTTGGTAGCCCCAGGAAAAGGAGAGGCTTGGACAAGGGAGGCTGTCAATATGGCACCTGTAGTGATACTCTTAATTAAATTAGACTTTCAGAATCGCAGTGGCTTTGTTTAATCTCTTCCCATGCAGCCCCTCCTCCTCCCACCCACACAAAGCATCATAAGAGAGGATCTGACAGTAAAATCCCTGCTATGGAAGCAATTTTGCTGTTGCAAACAGTGGATGGCAACATCACTAATGGAATTAGGCTAATTATAGAGAGGACAGCTTCTGTTTAGACACATTATCTGGGTAATCAGCACTGACTGGAAAGAAAATACAGGAAAGTACTGCAGAGTTTTGCTCGATGGGGGCTCTCCATATGCATTTTAGAGCCTGGGGTGAGTTTTAGTAGGTGAGTGCTGCTTATCAAACTGAACACAGTGCTGCTGGGGCTGGTCCCCGAGGGCTCGTCTCTTCATGCAGATGGTCCATCCCTGAGTAACTCCCCGGTGGATGCTCTTCTCCTGAAGAACCAGTGTCCTCTTCTGCATGGTGCCATCCGTGCTGAGAGCCGGCCTGGCAGCGAGTGTTGCTGTGTAAATCCATGCCTGACCTTCATCTCCCTTCACCCAAAGTAATTTTCTTCCTAGGCACATTCAATCCATCCTGCATGAGTCTGGGCATCCTCTGCGCACATGAGGGGGTTTGAGGAACGCGACTGCAAGAGAGGGTGCCTGTGCCAGGCACCCAGCAGGACCGTGTGCTCCGCATTCCTCTCCCAACATGGCTTGATGTAAAATGGAGACAGTGTAGAGAAAGACTTGATTTACTAGTCAGACAAGTTCATCCAGCCCTGGTAAAATGTCTCTCTGATTTAACACACTTGGTTTGCTTTTCAGGCAGAATTTAAGTCCCCTTTGCAAAGCCCTTGCACTTCATTTCTGCGGATTTTGACAGGGTGCTTTATGTCTGGGGAGAAGTCAGTGGTGTTTGAGATAGTTAGATGAGCAGATTTGATTACTGTCCTGCTGCTGCAGCAGCAGGATACAGAGGAACAGGCAGGGAAAACTGATAATCACTCAGTCTTCGTCACTGCTGCTGGCCCGACCCTGCTGAGCAGGTGCCGATGTGGTGACACGTCCGTCTCCTCCGTGGCACGGCCTGCAGGAGGAGAGTGGCCGCTGGTGGTTGGTAGCCCAGCGCAGGGTGAATCCTAATGCAGTGCTCTGTCCTTTGCTGCCTGGCAGGTGTGAGAAGTGCTACCTCTGTAAGTCACTGGTGCCACTGCTGCAGTATCAGAGGCATGTGGACAACTGCCTTCAGGCTGCTAGGCAAGCTCAGGGAACCAGGAGGCTGCGAAGCGCCAAGGTGAGGGGCGACTCCGCAGACCGGCTCCTTCGCTCTGTGCTGCGCTCGGGGGTGGGTTGCCAGCAGGAGCCGTTTCCCTGGCTTGGGATGAGCTGACCCGCTCTAGGTTTGCCCGCCTCTGTGGGTAGCTGTGGCCAGAGAGCTCGTTGCCCTCCCTTCCACAGCGTTTTGCAAGAGCGTGGACCAGTCCCAGGGGATGAGCTAATCCAGCGGAGCTGCCAGGAGCCTCTCCAGCAGGCAGGGAGCCAGGGCTGTCCTGCTGCCAAGCAGCGCCTCCGTCCTGCATGCTTCCTGGCCGGGGCAGAGACGAGTGGAGGGCAGTGTCAGGGTGATGAGCGTGGCTGACTCTGTCCACAAGCCCCTTCCTTTTGGGGAGGGCTTTAGAGCCAAAGCAGGGAGAACCACCGAGTGCCAGGAGCAAAGCGAAGCATCCCAGGAGAACCGTGCGGAAGCGAGCACGGTGGCTGCTGCGTGGTGGGTACGTGGGGGACAGGCCTTGCCAGGAGAGGTGGGAGGGTAGCGTGGGGAGCAGCTGGCACACAGTTATTGCCACGTGTTGGCCCCCGCCGTGCTTTTTGCTGCTCCCTGCTGTTCCAGGGGGGTGCA